CTCTCCACCACAAACCATATCAACATCCTAGAAGTCATCAAGATTCCTAAAGCAACCAGAGCTTCCCTCCCTCTACCTTAAACCACCCTCTGCGGTTGTTTATTATTTACCCTATCAACTAAGATTAAAATTATTATTCTATCAGATTATATCATTATTCTATTAATAATTAACGAGTAATAATGTATTTATAATAACATTTTGATTGAATAATTAAATTATAACTTTTTAAAAAAACATCAAATTATAATCAAAATAATAATTGAATTATTTTACCCCAAAGAAAATAGCACGACTCTGACATCGCATTCCTTTGGGTTACTTTTATTGAAAGAGGAATTAGGATTTTGTTGCTATCAAACTCATCATCTTCATCATAACACAAATGAATGAATTCCTTTTGCATGTGAGAAGTCTTGATTGGATGTACATAACATTTTTAGGTAGCTTTTGAAAACGACTATCATTTTGCCAATGCCTTCACCGAAAAGAAAACTACACATTATTTTGGTTTAATACAATAATAATTGTTTAAATTATTACTTTTGAGTGTTAACTTTTTTTATTAAAATAATTATTTAATATTTTATTTTGTTATGAATCCAAGATTGGATCATAAAAAACTGACATCCAATCATTACTTAATATGTAGCTTGATTTTATTTATTTATTTTTAATTTGCACGAACCAAACAATCCCGGTGATAAAAGAATTATTGTTATTTTTAGGGGTGTGTAAAAATATACGATCCGTTGATCTGGTTCAAAAATTCAGATATTCGATTCGTTTTTTATTTTCGGATAATTTGAATCGGATATCCAAAAAATCGGATAATAAGATCGGATACGAATCGGATAAATTTTAATTTCGAATTATCAGAAAATCAAAAAAAAAATGAGCTTTTAGATTTTAGATACACTTTAACCTAAAAAATGAGTATCTCACTAACTCATTAAAGCTCTAACCTAATAAAAATTAGGATATTTAATTATTTAATGTGTGTGGATAATTAAATATATATAAAAAAATATAGTAAAACTATCAAATACATTAAATTAAGTCACAAAATTTAAAATTATTTTTCTGCCACATTAAATTTTAAATTCTAATTAGGATATCTGAAAATTCGGATTGAATATGGATCACTATTTTAGGTATCATAAATTTTTGGATATCAAATTTTTTGAATCTGATATCTGAATTTGCACAACTCTAGTTATTCCTTGAGGTTTCAGGTACATGCACCAGGAATTCCAGGATGGAAATGTTCAATGTCAAATGATTGAGAGTTATTTTTTTTTGTTACCCTCCCGGTTCCAAGGCTTCGCCTTTAATAATCTGGATCGACCCGCGTCACACATCTGGTTTTGGTGGGTGAGTCTCCCGGCAGAGATTTTTTGCATACACAAGGATTCAAACTTGAGATATTACTTAAACGATATCAAACTGCTTATCACTTGAACAACCTTTGAACATATACTAACTTATATTTTCCCTAGACTAATCAAAACAAAAATTAAATTTTTAATTTCTATAAAACCCTAACATCACTCATTTATTACAAAATCTCTGAAATTTCTAACTTTTTAAAAAAATCAAAACCCCAAAATATCTTTCACCCCTCATTATTTACGTCATTGAACGCAGTCCTAATGCTGCAGCAACGAATAACTCACGAGTTTCTTCCTCTCGCCTCACCAGAAATCGTTTGTCAATTTATTTTGATATGGGCTTAGGTCACTAGTTAGGGATGATGGGAATTTAAAGATTTTAATTTTTATTTAAAAATTAAGGATTTTAAATTTAAAAATGCAGTATTTTACAGCACAGCTGTTAAACAAACAATGACTAGTCTCGTTTTCTTTAGTTGATCGAACAAAGAATAGAATAACTGATTTTATGACGAAGATAGCCAACATTGGTATTTTGAGGGTCAAAATTTCTCAACACCGTTAATGGTTGTAGAGTCGATACTTAGTAAAAAATGTTTAAGAGTTAATAACTAGAATGTTTTATGTCCTTATTTCACTAAAAAATTATGATAAGCACCACCTATTCATTAGACGACGATTTCTTTCCGGTTTTGATAGTTAAAATATAAAATAATAATAAAACAAAACATTAAACATCTATTTTAATAAAAAAATGAAAGAAGATTATAATTTAAACATTTATCGATAATTAGTTTCCACCACCTGCATTTGTTGTGTTACTTTCTTTGTTGGTCAATTAATTACATTAAATAAATTTACAAAAGTTCAAATACCTTTTTCTATCCTTTTAATATTGATCTTAAAATAAAGGAGGAAATGGAAAAGCATGACTTTATTTGTTTTCTTTGGGTAAATTACATCATATATAATAAGTTTACAATGAGAAAATTATATTTAAAAATCACAATCAAGTCATTTAATTAATTAAATATAACAATCGAATCCTTAACTTGTAATATTTTATTCATATAAAACTCACATTATGCTCAAATTTTATGGATAAATTACGACTCCAATCACTCTAGTACTGGTAAGTTACAACTTAGTCACCGAATTTTAAAACATTGCAATTAATTTTGGTGGAGTACTTTTACTTGATTTTTGCATATCTTTATAATTTGAAGTTTAAATTTATTCGAATTTCTTCTATACTATCATAAACTATTTTAATAATTCATTAATGATTTAATGGGAAAAATTTTAAACGTGGCACTAGACCAGGGATCTGCTTCTTTGACTCGTATAGGCCTGTAAATGAACTGAACGTTCAGCGAACCGTTCATGAACCATGTGGCGGGAAGTTTGTTTATGTGCGTTTATTTATTAAATGAACAAACATGAACAAGATTTTGTGTTCGTTTAATTAAATGAACGAACATGAACATAGGTCTCGTTCGTTCATTTACGTTCGTGAACGTTCAGTTATGTTCGTTCGGTTATGTTCGTTTATGTTCATTTATGTTCATTCATTTATGTTTAACCCAATCTTCTTAAATCAATTTTGGTGACCAATTTGTAAGTATCTTAAAAATATTAGTTAATATGATATTCTGATGACCAACGCCATAATTAACCCAATTTTATTTGGAGATTAAATCCAATATGTTAACCCGTGAGGCACCTCGCACCTATATTCATTTCCCCCATTTTTTTCCCAAACCCTAGTATTCACTGGAGAGTAGAGACGATCGCTGAAAGCTTCAAAACAAGTTATATTATAGTGCAATATGAAGTTTTACAGATCTGTTTTAATCTCTTTCTCTGTTTTATTTGACTTAATAGTTGATATGTAAAGTTATTGCGGGTATCTTCACATCTAAAACTCAATAAAACATCATACTTCTTTCTAGAAATAGATGGGAATATAAAGGTAACAATCGGAAGTATATGAGCATCAGTAAAGAGAAAAATATATAGAATTTGTCAGAAAATAAAACAAATGTTTCTATGCAATTTTTGGAAAATAGTGTAATAGCGGAAGTAATGGGTTTTCCAGGAAGAACCCATTAATAAGTAGAAAATACACTTTGACAATGAACTTTTGTTTTCATAGTTCTTGTGTGACATTTAGTTGTGGAGTAGACTTTAGGTACGCTAAAATTTTGAATGGTAGTTTAGCAATAATATCAGTTATGATATGTAGTATCGTATGTAGTATCGAAAGAATTTCGGATCTATGTTATTGCCTTGTAGTCCAATTTGTACCGTTCGAAATCTTCATGCTATTAAATTTTCTACTATGCCAACGGAAATGACCATTATTAACAAACCTCACTAAAGTCTGACATTGATTTCACAAAACTTTTAACCGGCGAATTTATTAGAATAACATTGTAAAAAATGATTGTTCATATGTAATCATAGACCACTAAGAGAAATGTTATAGCGTTAAATTAAAGTCGTGTGAATCATTTAATATCTATAAAAGATCGATCGAAATATTTGATATCTTCAAACATTTCATCACTGCTAATCAGCTCTTACACTATTTATCACTGTAGATTTGGTTGATTTGCATTGTCGACTATTTTTCATGAAAGAACAATGGAAGGTAGGGTATCCAACGTTTATGTTTGTGTTCGTTTATATTCGTTTATTTATTAAATGAACGAACATAAACAAGTTATATTCCTTAATAAACGAACATGAACAAATTTTTTTTTTCATTTATGTTCGTGTTCGTTTATGTTTGTTTATTTATTAAATGAGCGAACATGAACATACCTCCGTTCGTGTGCGTTCGGTTCGTTAACATGCCTAAAGTCGTAGCTTATTCATCACAGCTCCTTTCTATTAAGCTAGCTTTTTGAAAAGTCACAAATTTAATTAATTAATTAATTTTATTCTTTTTCATTTAATAGTATTTTAATTTTGAGATTTGAATGTAAGAAAATGGACCACGTAAGGAACCCAATTGATTTGAACAAAGAAATAATGCAAGGAGATAAAGTCAGAGGCGCAAACTCATTTGAGATAATGAGGGACCACTCCGGAAATAAAATTGGAATTGTGGCTGTAAATTGTAATTATCCGAACGTAAGGGATGGCTGTCTCAATCCCTTTTGCCCACCATCCATTCATGGTTTATATTTATATATCTTTTTCCGTTTAAACTCAAAAATTAATTTATTTTAATTCAATTTAAAAAATTATTCGACCGGTAAGCTCGATGACCCAAACCATAATAAAAATGATTTAAATTTATAATAGAGAAAATATTTAAAAATTTTAAACTCATCCAATCATAAATAAATAATTTCATTCGAGTAAACTCGATAAGTATGTTAAAAAGATTGAATTGATTATTAATTAAATCAATAATCGAAAAACTGACCGGACCCACCTAAACTCGAACCGCATGGAGATCCACTCCTTATCATGCACCTTTACGCCGGCTATGCTAATATACGCTCCCTCATCCGAAAGTATTCCACTGAAATATAAGCAGTGATTCATTTTAGTAATTATTTTAAATTTATTATTTTTAATATTTCAGTAAACTTTTGGATTCATTGGTTCATCTGTCGGAATTTGGAAGGAAAAATTAGTTTCAGTTATCCAAATCGGCGATGAAATGAAGCATTTTGCGATTTCCAGAGCTATTCTCTTCTCCAGCCTTTGTTTTTGAGGACAGTTTATTTGTTGGAGTGATGGGCTGCGTGTACTCGAGAGCTTGCATCGGCGGGATTTGCGTGCCGAGGGATGCAAGAATCAAAGAGCCGCAAAGCGCGAGGCCAAACGCGGCAGAGATTGCCGTTTTCTCACCCGCATCTTCGAACGACGGTGACGAAACCAGAGACCAAATCCATTCTCAGTTAAGCTTGAACCTAGATGGTGACCCGGAGCTTGGCATCAGACGCCTCTCTAGGGTCTCAGCCCAGTTCCTCCCGGCGGACGGTTCTCGAACGGTTAAAGTTCCGTCGGGCAATTACGAGCTTAAGTATTCTTACTTGTCTCAAAGAGGTTACTATCCAGATGCTTTGGATAAAGCTAATCAAGACAGTTTCTGTATCCACACTCCGTTTGGAACAAATCCTGACGATCATTTCTTCGGCGTTTTCGACGGTCACGGTGAGTTCGGAGCTGAATGTTCGCAGTTCGTCAAAAGGAAACTATGCGAAAATTTGTTAAGAAATAGTAAATTCCAAGTCGATGGCGTCGAAGCTTGCCAGGCCGCGTATTTGACTACGAACACACAACTGCACGCCGATAATTTGGATGATGGCATGAGCGGAACGACGTCTATAACAGTTTTAGTTCGTGGTCGAACGATATACGTGGCGAATTGTGGTGATTCGAGAGCAGTTATAGCGGAGAAAAGGGGGAAAGAAATCGTGGCTGTTGATTTGTCGATTGATCAGACGCCTTTTCGTGTTGATGAGCTGGAGAGAGTGACGCTATGTGGAGCGAGAGTGCTTACATTGGATCAAATTGAAGGGTTGAAGAATCCGGATGTGCAGTGTTGGGGAACAGAGGAAGGCGACGATGGTGATCCTCCCAGGCTGTGGGTGCCGAATGGGATGTATCCTGGAACTGCTTTTACGAGGAGTATTGGGGACTCCATTGCTGAGACTATTGGCGTTGTGGCAAATCCGGAGATTGTTGTGTTGGAGCTTACTGAAAATAATCCTTTCTTTGTGCTTGCTAGTGACGGGGTTTTCGAGTTCCTTTCTAGCCAAACTGTGGTTGATATGGTAAGGGAATTATTTCAATGTATGAAATGGTGATCATAAGGGAATAAAGTGAAACTTAGTTGCTGCTGCTGTGCTGTGATTCATGATTAGTTCTAGTTATATTGTTGGTTAAATTACTTAGTATTTGGCTGGGATAACTATTTTAGGAGTTAACCTTCTGTTGTTAACGTTGGACCTCGGATTTGAGGGACTGGTATTCTTTTATTATTCTAATTAGGAAAATGGTTTTTTGAAGCACATTCCATGAATTTCTGGTTGTAGAAGGTTTTATGTTTATCAAGAATTGCCTGTCACTTATGTAAGTCTAGATGTCTATGATACCGGTGTTTCGTAATTCTTCTCATCATTTTTTTTATATAGGATGATATTTCTTCTTATCCTTAGATGGTCAATTTGATTCTGAATTTCTATCTTTCTTTATCAGTAGTTGTCCTTAATATTTCAGGTCGCAAAACACAATGATCCTCGTGATGCTTGTGCTGCAATTGTTGCTGAATCTTATCGACTTTGGCTTCAGTATGAAACTCGAACTGATGATATTACTGTGATAGTTGTGCATGTTAATGGACTAGTTGGAGTAAGTGAGCAAGCTTTTTGCACGAGATGTATTTCTTGTCTGCATTGCTATTTGTATCTCATTCGTTTTTCCTACCAGGTTGGTGGTGAATCTGCTCCTGCTTCTATTTTACGGCCTCCTGTTCCTCAAGTGTCTGAGACAAACGGATCAGAATCTCCTTCAACCATTAGCTTGAGCTCTAGGAACCAACAAGCAAGGCATGACTTATCACGGGCTCGTGTTCGTGCTATTGAGAGTTCATTGGAGAATGGGCAAGTCTGGGTTCCACCACCCCCTGCTTTCAGAAAAACTTGGGAAGAAGAAGTAAGACTTCTACCGTATTCTATTAGTTTTGGATGCATTATGGTGTTCCCTCACAAAACAATGCTGTTGTTCTTTTTATTATTGTTATTTAATATTTATATTATGTGTTGCAGTCACATATAGAGCGGGCATTGAATGACCATTTCCTCTTCAGAAAACTAACTGATTCGCAGCGTCATGTTTTATTGGATTGCATGCAAAGAGTTGAGGTCCAACCAGGGGATATTGTGGTTAAACAGGTTAGTTAGTGAATTTGGTATTAGCTTCAATTTTTGCTGCTATTTCATGCAGTTATGATGTTGCTCCCTAACTGTATGAGCAAAATGTCCTGAAATCACTTTACTGCTTCATTGCTATCATGTAAGTTATGAATTACCCAAACAAAGATGCTACTTTATTAGTGATCAGTAGGATAATTTATGCTTTAATTTTGAAGCAATTGGCAGCAGCAAACTGATGAATAAGCTGCTGATATGAAACCATTAAGTGTCAGAGATCCAAATTTCTCCAGCATATAAGCATGCTTTCTGCCTCTGGTGTCTATTTTGGTTTGAAATTGAGGTTCTTTTTCACAAAGCTGAACCCTGGTTCAACTTCCTTGATTTCAAATGCTAGGATTAGAGGAGCTTATATCTTAAATACAGTTCTAGATGGAGTTTTACATCGTTACAATAGAAGTTAAAACCCTAATTGTTATATTTTGTAGGGTGGTGAAGGTGACTGCTTTTATGTTGTGGGAAGTGGAGAATTTGAGGTCTTGGCAACCCAGGTTTGTTCGTTTTGATTCTCACAGAGGCACATATTGATTAGATTTACTTGTTGTCTATGTTTAAACCTAGAAAAGGTCCTGAGACCCGAGCTTGTTTTATTAAATTTGAACTAACTCTTCAGTTCAAATGTTTGCAGTACTTATTGTGGTCCAATGCTCAATATAGTCATGCTCTAATTCTCTGTTATCACTTTTTTTCCGTTTTCTTATTAACGAGTTGTCGAGTTCATAGGCCATTGGTATTTGTTTATTTTCAGTGAGATTTAAGTTTTTTCACTAGAAACTATTCTGGCAGGAAGATAAAAATGGAGAGTTGCCAAGGGTTTTGCAGCGGTATACAGCTGAGAAGTTATCATCGTTCGGTGAGCTGGCACTGATGTATGTTCTCTTCCTTTTTCCTTTCTCACCTCATTGTAAATAAAGAAGTCTTTAATTCTATTTTTTGATTTTGCTTAGTAAATGTTGGAATGCACATTTGGAAAGCTTGAAGATAATTCATACCGAGTTGCAAACCAAAATTAGAATATTATGTGACCATCATTTCTGTGAAGTAGCAATAAAGCAATATTTCGCTGATTTTTCTTAATACCTAGCATTCACTATATTTGGCTCATCTTGAGATTTCCATGTATATGTATGTATGCATATGTCAAACCTGCTGGTGTCTTGAGTTGGGATTAGCCGCTCTTTCTGGCTAAATATATGGTACATCTTTCCATGATAATTGTGTTTCATTGATATACAGGTACAATAAGCCTCTCCAAGCCTCTGTGCTTGCCGTAACAAGTGGAACTCTTTGGACCCTAAAACGAGAAGATTTTCGTGGAATTTTGATGTCCGAGTTTTCTAATTTGTCATCCTTGAAGTTGCTTCGCTCTGTTGATCTTCTATCGAGGTTGACAATTTTACAGCTGAGTCATGTTGCAGATTCTCTTTCTGAACTTTCCTTCTCTAATGGGCAGACCATATTTAATAGGGTAGATATTTTTTTCCTTCCAATATTATGTTTTTTCCCGGGTATATTTTTTTACTATATTATTTTTGGTTCAGTCTTTTGTCGTATATTTGCCATGATTCTGCAGAATGAGGGCCTTTCAGCATTGCACATTATCCAGAAGGGTCACGTGAGGATTACTTTTGACGGGGATTTGTTAAGAAGCCCAAATGTCTTTAGTCTCAAGTCTGATAACCCCAAAGAGGATGATGATCAGCAGACTGGTAAAGAACTGTCTGTTGAAAAGACAGAAGGAAGCTATTTTGGGGAATGGACACTTCTTGGCGAGCGGATGGGTTCTTTAAATGCGGTTGCAGTGGGTGATGTTTCATGTGCTGTTTTGACGAAGGAGAAGTTTGATTCAGTCGTGGGACCTTTAACGAAGCTTTCACCAGACGATCAGAAGTATGTTCTTGTCTAATACATTGAATATTGCATCCTTGATTTGCTCCTTTTTCCTGTTAGAATGTGTTTCTTTTTATATTTCAATCAACCGTCCATATTGGAATCTGTAAGCTTTTAGAACTCCATAACTGAAAACAATGAACTTTTAGTTTCTTCTCATCTCATTTGAATGTTTAATACTTTCTTTGAGAATGATGTTGTTGTCTCTGTTGCCATTTAGGCCTAGAGACTATTCTTTAGATGCGCCAAAGGATTCTTCCAAAGAAATTGATATTTCAAATCTTGCAAAAGTTGACCTCTCTCAATTGGTAAGAAGTGCTTAGTTCCACCTCTGCCTTGTGGTTAATGTAGCAAAATGATGTCATCACGAGAACAATCTCCTAAACACAGCTAATGTCATATGCAGGAGTGGAGAACATCTTTATATTCCACCGACTGTAGTGAGATTGGGCTTGTACTTGTAAGAGACTCAGGTTGGTTATCTGTGTATTTACTTTTACCCAGCATTTTACATTTAAGAAGACTCCTTTTTTTTTTGTAACTAGAGGTGAGTATTCGATTGAGTCGAGTAATTTTTTTTTTGAGTTAGTCGAGTTGACAAGTCCTATTTCATCATTCAAGCTTTATTAGTCGAGTCCAGTTTATGAAGTTCGAGTTCACACCAGTCGAATCTAGTTCCGAGTTTCTGTTCAAATTTAATTGTAATTATAATATTTTTCATATTCTTTTTCACTTTGTAATGTTATTTAAGAAACAATTGAGTTTCTGTTCTTTTTCACATAGTAATTTATAGCATCTAACATGCTTATTTTCCTATGTTGTGCTTTTGAGGAACTTGTTATGGAACAACTTTTAAAATATTTCTTTGTGTGAAATGGATTCGTTACCAGAAAAAATCCTTAGTTTGAAGAGGTTTTCAAAGCAGAAGGTAAAAAAACTAGGAAAAGAAGCCCAAGTTTTAAAGGAGAAGGATCTGATGAAGAGCATGAGCTCTGCAGCTTGCATACCTCAGGTCTTGTGCACTTGTGCTGACCAAATGCATGCTGGAATGCTGTTAAATACCTACCTTGTCTGCCCGTTGTCTTCTATACTTCGCACCCCTCTAGATGAACAATCAGCACGGTTCTGTGCTGCATCTGTTGTTACCTCTTTAGAAGATCTACACCAGGTCAGTTTTTAGAAGCAGTAGTTTTCTTCCACTTCATTTCCTCAATTCCTTGTGTATATGTTATTTATTTCAATTTATCTTTCAACATCCATTTTTCATATGAATTTCAGAATGGTGTCCTTTACAGAGGAGTGTCTCCAGATGTTTTGATGTTGGACAAAACTGGCCATTTACAGGTTGGTATTAGTGTATGCTTGTGTTATAGTTTTTGTTTACACATAAGGGAAGGTAACCCTCTCTTTTATATGTATGGTGGCAAGTCAGAAAGAGCTGAGTTTAATTGCTTTATTTTGTTGTGTTATGTTGTAGCTAGTTGATTTCAGATTTGGGAAGAAGTTATCTAGCGAGCGAACATTTACAATTTGCGGGATGGTAGACTCTTTAGCACCAGAGGTAGTTCAGGGAAAGGGCCATGGTCTTCCTGCTGACTGGTAAACATACATCCCATTCTTCATTTATCTGATTTGTCATAAACATCTTCATGTTTTATTTATCATGAAAAGAACAGAATTGAATAACTCAAAATAACTACACTGCTAGATCGTTGAAGAAATACGATTTGGGTTTATAATGGAGAGATTGGATGAATGTTTGGTTTGCATTAGTAATGTCTTAATGCCGGGGTGGTGGGGGGATGTTTCTGGTATTACTGAAAGGAACAGATGGAATTCTTCTTTAGTTGTTCTTTTATGTGCCTACCGTAGTTTTACATATTTTAGTTCTTGAAAACTTTCATGTGGATTTTAAAGAACATCAAAGATGAAGACCTTTGGGTAGGACGCCTAATCTACTATTTCTTACGAATGAGTTTGAAATGGTGTGCAATTTGATGATCTATTTTTCCTTTCTGACACAAATCTTTTGAAATATGCAGGTGGGCCCTGGGAGTCCTAATCTATTTCTTGCTTCAAGGTGAAATGCCATTTGGATCGTGGAGAGAAAACGAGCTTGATACATTTGCAAAGATTGCAAAAGGACAGTTTACTCTGTCACAGAATTTAAGCCCTGAAGCTGTTGATCTAATCACCAAGGTATTTTTATTGCTATTTCTTGAATTCCTCATAGCAATCATGGAACTCCTCACATGTTTGTGTCAAAATGATTTTTCAGTTGCTTGAAGTTGATGAAAAAGAAAGACTGGGAAGCCATGGTTCCATTAACGTTAAAAATCATCCGTGGTTTAATGGTGTTGACTGGGAAGGAATCAGAGACCAAAGCTTTCCCGTTCCTCATGAGTTAACTTCTCGTATAGCTCAACATTTAGAAACTCGTAATGAGGAGTGCCCTGTTTCTGTTACTTCCCCGCCTCAAGATATAGCAGAGCTCAATGTTCCGGAGTGGCTCGATGAGTGGTAGAAGAATGATCTATGTGGTTATTCCTCCAGTCTACATTTCTGCCAACAGTTTGCTTGTTGAGTTCCATTCAATGTGCTGAAATTGACCGTTGGATTATCAGAAGCTGGATTAGAGAAACCATTGCAATAAGTCAATTGTAAAGTTGCGGGCCTTAGATTGCTCATATAATTCTGTGATTTTTTTAATAGTCTGCTGCCAATTTAGCCGTCTAACCAGTTTAGTGGATAGCTGAGTTACTAGGTTTTTATTTTAAAATCTCGATTTTTTACATATTTCCCACTTTTAAATATAGGTAAACGAGAGTTCCTTGTACCTCAAGCTTTCTGCTTCACTTTACCGGTGGCAGTAGTAGATAATCAATTGGTTTTGGCATTTTGGGTCATTATAGATGTACGCATATTGATACAACATATGATATGTTGATTGACATCTATTATTCCTCTTGCAAAGTTATTCTGCCATTAGTGATGTTTTCTACTGTCTTTTATGTAAATGAAATGTCCTAATCAAATCGAACCCGGGGTGCTTTCGAAGCGTGCTTAACTCGGAGGTGAGATCTTTATCTATGCTTAATTTTTTGAGTTGAAGAGTGCTTTGTGTTGCCTCGTGTTTGGAACTGATAAACTCTCTTATTCACAGTGTAGTTGGTTCAACACGGAGGAACCGGCAAGGGACTTTTCTCACTTCAAAACCAAGCTTGGGAGGAACCTTATAACCTTCTGTATAGTTTTTGTGTGTGTGTGGTTGGGGATGGGGGGTGTTAAAAAATCTGATCAGAGAGAGGTATTATTTCGAGAATATAAACAAGATATTTCAAAATTAGTTTCCTTGACCAGAGTACTCCAACTCTGAACTTTCAAATGAATTTCTTTTATCGATTTTGAGTGAGGTTTGTAAAATTTTAATATGAAGAAGATTAATAAAATGTTAACGTTTTGGAATCAATCTTGTCGTGAATGAGTATCGATAATGAGTGATGATTGATCTGCTAATTCTATAGAGAAAAAAAAGGAGAAGAAATGATCGTATTGTTAACCATTTAAACTTAAAATATTTTAGAATTTCATAATAAAATAACATAAATTTTGGTATTTAATAGTATAATCTTCACAAAGAAAATCATGGATATGCGTTGAGCGTGCTTTTAATAGATTCTGCACTGGCTCAGCACTTACGTTAATACAAACAACCGATCAAATAATAAAAGTAACACCAACAGCAGCTCTTGAGCCAGCGTTTTCGACCGGCAAACATTATTAAAATGGCTTGATTTCATAAACAACCACGGAGGGTTCATTGTTTAACATTAATATTTTTTATTATATGATCATTGAGGGGTAGTGAAATTAGTTGGTATTTATATTATTGTTATTTAAATAAAGAAAAATAAGCATTAGACTGTGGAAAAGCTTACGTCAATGGAGATATTGTTTTAAATTTAGGTTAAACTTTGTTTAATCATATCTTTCTCTCGTCGCTTTTGTCTTCTTTTAAACATGGGATTGTAGTAATAGTCCAATAATTGAATTAAATTGACCATCCAGCTCAGTTGGTAGAGCACAAGGTTCTTAATCTTGGGATCGTGGGATCGAGTCCCACGGAAGGCATTTCATAATTCGGAGGTCTCCTACGGAAGTTGCTCTCAACCTGGCGTTGGGGGCCAGCCTACTATCCTATTTTCCCTTTACCCCATTACATATGAGAATAATGGTAAAAAAAAAAAAGTATTAGTAGAGTTTGCAAGGTTGAACCTTTGAGATCCTTGATAAGGGAGAAATTAAAAACTTCAGGAGGTCAAAGTTTTCCGGACGTAGGGTTTTACGTAAGAGACACGAATCTTTAGAAAATATATTAAAATTTTAGAATGTGTAAAATTTCATATATACGAAATTATATCATAAAAAAATTTAAAATTTTAAGAATGTTCCTAAATTTAAATTTTAAAAAAAGTTTTCCGGACGTAGGGTTTTACGCCATTTAATACATTTTTGGTCTTTATTTTATCTTAATTATGTTCCTAACTTTAAGTACGTGTCTAGTCTAATCCTTTGTGAAAAATGTGTGAACCCTAACCCTCTAGTTAGTATGAAGTAGTAATCAATTAGTTATACATTTCTATGCTTGTATCGATGTATACTAATTACAACGGTTGGTCATATAGTTCTTAATGGTTTTGTTCCAACCCATTTGGTTTAATTATGTTCTATATCTCTATACTCTTTATTCTTTTGAATTTTGTTTTCCGGATTTTATTTTCAGGAATTTAGCCATTTGATCCTCTAATTTAGAAACCAAAGCCAATCGATAATACAGTTCATTGATTTTAGAGGCCTTAGTCCCTCGATTTTTTGATACAATTACTTTTTAGGTCTCTTAATTTTGAAACTAATCAAATTAAGCATTGGTTTATCATTTTTATGGGTAAATTACAACGTTCCTCACTAAACTTTACTCTCTCTCCTATTTTGCTCATCGTACTTTTATTTTTTTCTATTTTACACACTGAACTTTACAATCGAATCATTTTGCTCACTCGACTGTTTTCTCTCTAATAGTTGATGATGTGACATTTTTTATTATTATTTAATATAAAATAAAAAGCAGAAGGTGGCTGGATGCCACCATCGACCACCGCCGAAGATGCCAGTCATTTGGTCCCAAAATGGGATGGGCCGCTTCGCCTGAGTCTGAATTCGACTTCCATTTTGTTGGAACTTGCTTCAAAGTCTACGAATTTGAGATTTAAAGTGAGGAAACCGAAACATTTCAGTCCAAATTCACGAGTTTTGAGACATTTTCCGGTGAAACAACTATCAGTTTTCGACTCAGGGGTCGAGAAGAACCGGCCCATGAAATTTGGGATCGAACGACCACCATCTACGATTGTCAAAGGTGGACGGAATGAAAATGGTGTGGTGGCCGGTGGGGAGAAAATGAAGAAGAGAAGGAAAGATGATAAATTACACCATAAGTCACTGAACTTTACTCTCTCATATTTTACTCACCAAAACAACGTCGTTTTGGAGTATATTTGAGTTTTTCAAAACGACGTCATTTTGATTCATGTGCCATGTCATAACACCTTTAAATAGTTAATGGCAGAGTGAGCAAAATGATTAATATGTAAAGTTCAGTGAGCAAAATAGAAAAATTGAAAGAACGGTGAGTAAAATAGGAGAGAAAATATATTTTAGTGAGGTTTGGTGTAATTTACCCTTTTTATTTAAGTACATTTTAGGTCTTTTCAATTTCAGAATTAAATAAATTATGTTTTTATTTTTTAAATTAATGACTCTAATAATCATTTTATTCTTATCGTAACGAACTTGGACTATCGCAACGAACTTGGACTATCGCAATGAATTTGTAATAAATCGCAATGTGAACTTCGACTATCGCAAATCAGTTTCCAGATTCGCAACGCGAACTTTGACTATCGCAATGCGAATATGTAAATCGCAATGCGATAGTCGAAGTTCGCGTTGCGAATCTGAAAACTGATTTGCGATACCGGAGATCGCGTTGCGAATTATCGATCGCATTGCGATTTAGTTGGTCATTTTGGCAAATCCAAAAAAAATTGATTAAAATCAAATATTATAAGGCATTTTTGGTCACTAAGGTTATTTTCTCTTTTGTTTATCATCTAAAAATTTTATCCATACTTCCCACCAAATGACTGATTTGATTAAAAAAAAAAAAGATTCGTTGCGTCTGCTACTTTGTAAACCTTAATTAAAAATTAATTAATGTGCTTATCATAAAACCAGGTTGGCATTAGTTCCATTATTTATAAAGCACAAAAATTTATTTTTTTAAATATTTATTTATTCACATTAATCAATCGTTTTTATTTGTTTATTTATTTACGTAGAGCAAATGAGCAATGTATTATAAAGAAAACATCAAACATGCACTGGAACATTGATTTAAAAAGTAAGCTTTTTGGTTGTTCATTCTTATTTAAAACAAAGGGTCCAATTCTTGTTTTAGTTCTTCTACAATACTAAAATATACGATTTACTCCTCCTAATTTTATAATATTATTAATATATCCAAATTGATAGTATCGTTAATTGTTGCTCTTAAAGGAGAGAGCTTTATTTAGACATCAACCGAATATGGAGATGGAGCGTGGGAGTGTCATGGCCGCCAAATTTTTAGGTTCAACTACATCTTATGTCCTTAAAAGTTTCAAAACTATATAAATTAATCACTACCTTCTAAATTTTTGGATTTAATTATTTCTTAGGTTCATATTAGTTTTAAAACTAGACAAATTTTGCTCTAACCCTCATTTTTTATTTAAATGCTTTTCATGTCCCTATCAATTTTGATATTCGGCAGAATAAACAATATCCTCATTGTTTTCGTTTAAAAAGTCAATTTCAAAGTTAGTAAATTAAATTCCAACCCTCAATTTTTAAGCCTTAACTTTACATTAGACCCTGGTCCATTTTTGTTGTAATTTATATTTTCCCCTTACCTATGATCCTGATTTGGTCCCTGATCAAATGTGTACAATTGTTTTTTACATTAGAAAATCATATCATTACTTTAATAATAACAGCTAACAATTATCAATTTGGACCTACTAATAAATTATAAAAGTAGATGACCGAATCATACGAAATTAAAATAGAAGAACTAAATTTCAAAATTTAGTATAGTTGAGAGACTAAAATAATAATTATGCCCTTAACAAACTACAAAATAATTAAAAAGGGTGGGAATGGATAAATATACCTGTCATTTTCTATTATGTTTTTGTAGATATGCCTTTTACAAAAATAAATAAATATAATCTGTAAGAAATAAAACTTGAACTTTTTGTGTAAAATCAGGGAAAATAAAATTCGAAAGGAAAATTTCTAACTGTGTATTATATTGAAATTATGCACAAATTGCAGTGACCTAAATGAAATTTTCTCCATCCAATCAACATATTCAGACACCTAAATGCTGAGATTGTTTAGACCTCCTTGTCTCTTTATTGGCAAACCATTGAACTGTTCTTCTTGCAATTGGCAACCAAAGCCTCCTTGTTCTTTCCTCCTTTGTATAGTTTTCAGACAAGGAGCTCCAACATGTTCCATTACTCGTACTAACGACATCCCGAAACCTTGACAGAGCGGTGATTTCCGACATCGATCTTTTCTCTCCTTGATTAACAACACCAACGACCCTTGATGTTGTATGTGTACTTGTACTTGGTTCGCAATTTGGATTGCTTTTGTTGACTTTGTTCTCAAACAATCTTTTAATCTCCATCTCTTCCTTGATCTTCGAAATCTCGTTGTTTCCGGTCGGTTTCGGTTTCGGAATCTGTCCGTATTCATCGGCTTCGATGGAAGAAAATCGGTTGCTCGACATATCATTGAGCATTTCGGCATTCAAGAACATAAGGTCTGATGAACTCACACTGCTCCATCTGTTCTTCATTACTACATCAGATGCAATGATCCTATGGTTGAACTTATGGAAGATCTTCCCTCTGTCTTCGTCGTCGTTATCGGACTCTTCTTCTCGAACTAGAACTTGGTTTTCGATGTCACGGTCTTCTGTTCTCCGGAAACTACTTCCGTTTCTGAATCTCGACGAGCCGTGACTATTGTCTTGCTCTCTTTGGACATAAAGCTCTATGTTTGAATCTTCTCTTGAAGACTGATTCCTCAAGAACCGCAAGCTATTTGTGTATGTAAACATTGTTAAGTCCTCGGCGTTGACTTTTTGCCTGCAAAGAGGGCAGCTTGAATGCTTTTCAAGCCATTTATCAATGCAACCAATATGGAAGCCATGCTTGCACTTCGGCAACAGCCTTAGGATTTCGACATCTTCGAATTTCGATAAGCAAACCGTGCATTCGAGCCCTTGTTTCGATCCCCTAAGCGACGAGAACCGAAAGAACGGAAGCGATTCGATAACTTTCTTGTCGATCCCGGAAAATCGAGACCTTGTCCGATGGAGCAAACCGGGGTGATGATCACCCTGGACCGCACTAGCGCCCCTGTTACAGAGCCTGGCATAGATGAGTAGGAAAAATGTCAAGGCAAACATGACACAGAGGATACCTATGACAACAGCTAGGCTCGGTCGGAAATTCGAGACAGCATCTCCCGAACTTGTTAAATCAGTAGATTGTGCATCGACCGCAAGAATTGGAAGGGAAAGAACCATACTAATCGACACCGATAATCGATTCATCGAACGGTAGCATGTGCAATCTCAGAATTCTATAGCTTTCTTGCATGCATTTGAGCTAGCAAAAGATGAACTTTTAAATAGTACAAATGGAGGTAGTTTTATATTTGCATATATAACTACCCCCAAAAGGGTACCTTTCAAGTTTGTCAGTTTCTTTGCTTTCCCTTCAGGCTGCTATATATATATATATATATATATATGCAAAAGTTGACCTTTATTACCTGGGTGTGCTTTGTTTTCTTTGGAAGAGTATATACCTTGCAGGAAATATATCTGTTATCATCCAATACTAACAAATTTTGCAACCTTTTAGTTTTCCAATTGGACAGATTCCATTGAAGATTATGAGAGGCCAGCCATTTGTGTGTTTCAAAACTCATGTTTTCAGTATCTATCACGGAATCGTTATTTACCCGGGAAGACATTTGATACGATGTAGGATTAATGTTTTTATTTTTTTATATTCGTAACGGTTGTCACGGAATCATTATCCTTTTCTCAAAATACATGTATAATAGTAAGTATAACGGTGCGGTTTTAAACTTTTATACCCTAATTTCCTTTCCAAATGGAGGACAGATGTCCCAACCTCTCTCAAAGGGTTGGCATCAAACTTCAGTTTGCATATCATTTTAGTCCATATAGAAAACCGTTAATTTCTTTAAATGCCGTCGTCGGTTCAATCATTGTTCATCACTGGATTAGCGATTAATGGGTCGACTATAATCGATTACTTTTGAGTTAGTTACGGTTCGGATTGGACGTGTTAGAATTGTCTGCTTATTTTGACCAAGTGGTGGATAAATCACGAAAGTCCAATGTCGATGTTGCATCCATTAAGATGGCAATTGAAGTTGCATCTAGTCTGTCTTGTGTGTCGGTTAGGTTTGTTTTAGGTGAGCTCATCAACAAATCTCTGCCAGCTAAAACACTCACAGATCCATTATCAAATCTTTTCCTTGTGATATGATCAAAGATGTAATAAAAAAGTCACTTGGTCAAATCATATAAGTTAATGGAAAAACATAGATTAAACTAGCTTAGATGCTGTCCTAATGATTGATACAACTTGCGTCCACTGTTAAACAATGGTGGTCGAAGATTTAGGAACTGGGACTTTGGTCGTGTTCTAGAAGTAAAGAGTCGGTATTCAATGCTATATGTATGTCTGTTCTTAGTTGAGAAACCAAGCTGTGAGAAATAAACAAACAGCGGCATTATTTTCTGAGGGTGAACATGGACACAACCCAAAGGGGAAATCCAGAGTCAACTGTATTATATATATATATATATGTCAATGTATGCTAACGGCGCTGAACAACGGTTTTAAGCTTCGCTGCTCCGAGACCCGACACCTGTTTAAGCGTTTCGGTTTGATTTTGATCTGATCACTCTACCTTATAAGTTTAATTAGTTTGAATTTCTATGGTAAATTTATATAAAAATCCTGTAATTTTTCTCAACTCATGATTCACTGGCGCTATAGTATTTTTATTCAAATTTAAACGGTTGAAAGCTCAAGAATGAGGAGAAAAACAATATAGGAATTATAAATTAAAGTAAAATTAAATTAAATTCTAATTCTAATTCTAATTTGTCAACTTCAAAAGGGTTTTTGATAAAAAAAAATAAACTGAAAAGAATAAAAAATTAAAAAATATTTTAATACTAATTACATCACAAACAATGATCGACGATGTAGATATCAACTCATAACCGATACATAATACAAAGACTAATAATAAAAATTAAGTCGGGAAAAAAAATAACAGAGAAACAAAACCATCATCGAGAACGAAGCCCAAAGGAAACAAACAAGCAAAGGTGAAGGTGATAGATGGCACAAGGGCCAAATACAGGCCGAAAAGAAGAGCCCAAACAAACCTCAGCCCCATGTGACAGCAAGGAAGGTTGCCTTAATGATTCCTACCGTCTCTGTCCCTTTGGTCCCATCGGTAATGATAATCAAATAAAGCCTGAAAAACAGAAACAAGAGCAACAGAAACCTCCACAAATGCCGACAGCAGAAACCTATCGGACTGCAGCTTCTTAAAAGTCCAATACATACATACATTGTAACTCCTAGACCCGGTCTGGACGTTATACACAAATACATACGGCTACATATCATATTCAAAATTTCTTTTCATATTTAAAACAATGTTAAAATCTATATAACAATATAATATGAAATTAGTCATAAAAAAGTTCATACGATAATCATATATATATATATATATATATATATATCAGAAAAGCGAATAAAACATATACAGAACAAATTACCGGTAATACATATATATATATATCGAGAATGTAGCAAAAACAAGTGTTGTCAAATTATAACAAAAAAGCATATAAAGATATACAATGGTACAAAAATAGGAGTAGTCGGTCCTCCAGATCCGATTCAGTGTCAACAAGTTCAGTAGCATAGCAGCCTAACCTGATAAACTCAATCTCATAATCCATAACAGACATACCACCCTGCTCTAAATTCTGAAACTCCTGGCGTCGCTCTTGTAAGTATCTCACTCCGACGTAGCGACTCTAAAAATGTGTCTTGAAAAGATCCCAAGTCAACTGATTTTCCATAATACTACCAGAAATTGATTGTCACAATCTAAAACTCTCTTTCTTCAGCATAGCTAGGACCCTTTTAACTTTTGCTCAGGCCTCATATCCATCTCATTCATATTCCTCTTTGTATCCTCCAACCAATACTCAGCGTCAGTTGGAGGTCCACCAGTAATGCTTTCGAACGGAACTTTTCCAACACTACCAAAGACTTCGAAATCTCGACCGTAGACATTTTACCAAGGACTCTAACAGCTCTCCTAAACATACCAAATATAGCTCTATTAATGGCATCCTCATCTATATCAGTTTTCTTGTTCTAAGCGACGAGAGGGTCTCTCGCAGATGTAATCGGATCATCTCCGGGAATAGGCAAATCTACATGCGGAACAAAAAAATCTCGTGGTGACATCGGATCATCTATAGTAACAGAAGGCCAAGTTGCTCGCCCTCGACCATGGCCACGGCGTAGCCTACGATCTCTAACAGCACACATCGGATAATTATACAAGGATCTACAGAAAGAATTTAAACCTAAGTTAGACTAACATCAAGAATCTCAAATATATTTAAACTCATAAAATGAGGTGACATAATTTTTTTGAAAATATAAAAAATATCTTGAAAATCCAAATTTTAAGACTCATCCACAGTCTGAGTGTTAAAAATTGAAGGCTCTGATACCAGAAAGTGTAACCTCCTAGACTCGATCTAGACGTTATGCCCAAATCTAGGTGGCTACATATTATATTCATAATTTCTTTTCATATTTAAAACAACGTTAAAATCTATATAATAATATAATATGAAATCAGCCATAAAAAAGTTTATATATATATCAAAAAACCGTATAAAACATATACAGAACAAAATACCGTTAATACAAATATATCAATACAGTAGCAAAAAAGTGTCACCAAAGTATAACAAAAAGGCATATAGAGATATATAGTGGGATAAAAATAAGAGTAGTCGGTCCTCCTGATGTCAAGTCTGCAAGCCTAAGGTCTGTTACTTTCTGAAAATGTTAAAATTTACATAATGAGCTAAAAAGCCTAGTGTGTTCCTTACGGTGTATAAAAACATACAGATAAAATACTTTAGTAAAATCAATTTATCAAACATGTATTAAAAATATGAACAATACCCTCATCCGATCACCAGAATGTGTAGGTTCCCCAGAACCATACACTGACATGTACACCCAGTAAGGGCCTTATACACATAGCATAAGGATATGCGGTAAAGACTTACCATGTGCACAAAGCAGAGGAGCCTGCAGTAATGACTTACGTTGAGCACAAAGTTGAGGAGTATGCGGTAAGGACTTACAAGTCATAGACTAGGCCTGGGATACTTCCTCCAATAATACATCCAATGACAGTAATAAACATGTATGTATTATAGTGAAAACAGTAGTTGAATTTAGTAAAACATGAAAATATTTCAGACTCAGAAATCAGATACAGAAATATAGAAATTAGAGATCATATCAGAAATATATAGTAAATTAGATATCAGATAAACAATATTTAGAAAATCAAGTATCATGTCGTAAAAATATTCAGTATTATCATAAATCTAAAACAATTCAGATGAACAGTTTAAAACAGTAATGTAACACCATCAGGAAACACACTTGTATTGGTCTGAGTAGTCTAATAAGAAAGCCTACTACTGAGTCTGCCGATCACGATCAGCGGTAGCGGTAGATCCTACAAATTGGAAAAATACATATCAAAATCCCAATAATAATAATAATAATAATAATAATAATAACCCCTATTTAAGCAATTTACATATACCTACGAGTAACTCTCGAGGAACGCGGATCGTACGGATTTGACGGACGGGAAGCACCGGATCTAATCGATCCTCAATCGGGTGAAATACGAGTACCTTTGTAACAACCCAGAAAAATTAGAATATTATTAAATTGAAGTTGGAGGCTTTAATTGTGAAAATTGGTAAACTGTGAGGACTAAATTAAAAGATTTTAAAACTTGGAGCTTGTTTTAGAGTTTAAGAAAATTCAGGGACCAAGCTCTGAATTTACCCAATAAAATTAGGTAAGGATGGTATTATATGTTGTATCGTGGTTTTCTGTTTCAAACAGAAAACCACGCCCAAATCCTCTCCCGAACGCCCAACTTCAAACCCCGATCCAGACGCCGTCCGAATTCCGATCGTTGTTTTGAAACCACCGTTGTGTTCATCTTCAAGCGAGGAACAAACCCTTCAAATTAATTGAAGTGAAACGCTGCCAAACGTCGGGAATTTACAGTCAAAGTCTCGACGTTATTTTTAGATCCATCGCCGAGAAAAAACTTAAATTCACCGCCGATCGTTGTTCCGTTTACGACACCTCCTGCACCATCGTGTTCCTTGTGTCGTTGCGAGTCCGCCGGTGTCAACCTGGTTCGCCCGACTGACCCGACCCGACCCGACTGACCCGACCCGACCCGACTGTTGACCCGACCCGACTGTTGACCCGACCCGACCG